ATCCTCGTAGCGAGGCGGTGATAATCCTTGCGGTGTGGCCGCCTTCGCCTGAGCAGGCAGAATCTGCCATCCTCGTTGAGAAGAGGTGATAATCTTCGCGGCTTGGCCGCCTTCGCCTGAGCAAGTGGAATCAGCCATCCTCGTTGAGAGGAGGTGATAATCCTTGCAGCGTAGCCGCCTTCCCCTTAGTAGGCGGAATCAACCATCCTCATTGAGAGGAGGTAATAATCCTCGCAGCGTGGCCGCCTTCGCTTGAGCATGCAGAATCAGCCATCCTCGTTGAGAGGAGGTGATAATCCTCGCGGCATGGCCTTCGCCTGAGCAGGCGGAATCAGCCATCCTCTTTGAGTGGAGGTGATAATCCTTGCGGCGTGGCCGCCTTCGCCTGAGTAGGGGGAATCAACCATCTTCGTTGGGGGTAGGTGATAATCCTCGCGGCGTGGCCGCCTTCGTCTGAATAGGCGGAATCAGCCACCTTCGTTGAGAGGAGGTGATAATCCTCGTAGCGTGGTTGCCTTCGCCTGAGCAGGCGGATTCAACAATCCTCGTTGAGAGGATGTGATAATCCCCGCGGTGTGGCCTCCATCACCTGAGCAAGCGGAATAAGCCATCCTCGTTGAGAGGGGATGATAATCCCCGCGGTGTGGCAGCCTTCTCCTGAGCAGGCGGAATCAACCATCCTCGTTGAGCAGAGGTGATAATCCTCGCGGCGTGGCCGCCTTCGCCTGAGCGGGTGGAATCAGCCATTCTCGTTGAGAGGAGGTGATAATCCTCGCAGCGTGGTTGCCTTCGCCTAAGCCGGACGAATCAGCCATCCTTGTTGAGAGGAGGTGATAATCCTCGCGGCGTAGCCGCCTTCGCCTGAGTAGGCGGAATCTGCCATCCTCGTTATGTGGAGGTGATAATCCTCGTGGCGTAGCCGCCTTCGCCTGAGTAGGCGGAATCAACAATCCTCGTTGAGTGGAGGTGATAATCCTCGCGGCATGGCCACCTTTGCCTGAGCAGTTGGAATCAGCCATCCTCATTGAGAAGAGGTGATAATCCTCACGGTGTGGCCGCCTTCGCCTGAGCAGGTGGAATCAGCCATCCTCGTTGAGAGGAGGTGATAATCCTCGCTGCGTGGACACCTTCGTTTGAGGAGGCAGAATCAGCCATCCTTGTTGAGAGGAGGTGATAATCCTCGCGGTGTGGCCGCCTTCGCCTGAGCAGGCGAAATCAGCCATCCTCTTTGAGTGGAGGTGATAATCCTCGCGGCGTGACTGCCTTCGCCTAAGTAGGGGGAATCAGCCATCTTCGTTGAGAGTAGGTGATAATCCTCGCAGCATGGCCGCCTTTGCCTGAGTAGGTGGAATCAGCCACCCTCGTTGAGAAGAGGTGATAATCCTCGCGGCGTGGCTGCCTTCGCCTGAGTAGGCGGAACCAGCCATCCTCGTTGTGAGGAGGTGATAATCCTCGCGCCATAGTCGACTTCGCCTGAGCAGGTGGAATTATCCATCCTCGTTGAGATGAGGTGATAATCTAGAAAACTCCATAGTCGAAATAATTTGAACTTTATTGCCAACCAACTGACGGAAACTACCCACGAAGCTATTGGGCGCTAGGTGCCTACATCGAACTAATCGATGGATAAAAGACTAGGAAAAATGTGACCGACCGGTCACTGGTAAAATTTCTTGAGGTGGCAAGTGTTCCACATTCGTTCCACGGGCTCACCCTCGGTTTCTAGCCGGTAGGTTCCCGGGTAAACTTCACTCGCTATCTTATACGGTCCTTCCTACTTGACTGACATCTTTCCCCCCTCGTTGGGCCGACTGTGTAACACCCCGAAATTTTTCAACTTTTAAGACTTATATAATAAAGGTAGATTCTAATTAAATCCCAAAACATAATATAATAGAGTACGGGGTGCTATGCCACACCTGAGCTAGGGAACTCAGGTGCACATGCTAACTAACTAATATCCTCAATAATGTAAATACATAAGCATGGCACGCAGGCCGAAAGGGGAAACTATCTACTCTACGCTCCAAATCTCTAGCGCGCTCCAGTGTCTACTCCTCTGTGCCTGAAAGCCAAGTATATCTGTTCAGCGAGAGATGCTGGTAACCCACTCCAACGCGTTGAAATATAGTATAGATAGATATATATATAGATATACGAAAATCATTTCGAAGCAGGAAGATATGTACTTAAGTGACACTAGTTTTAAAACCAGGAATAGACTCAGCAAATCGGGATAAGCACATCAGACAACAATAAGCAGTTAGGTAGAAATAACATCATAAGAAATACGCTTTTACGGTCACAAGCCACTTCTCAATTCCAAACCACATCATCAACCAATCATCATCCATATCACATAATCATTGATGGCGCCACGAGACCAATCGCATGCCCCGAACATGAGGGTTAATGCTTATAGCATTAACACGGCCCCGCAGCACCCTACCTCAGTACCGCGGTACGAGGGGAGTTGATCGCAACCAACCCTTTGAGAACCGCTGACGAACTCAACGTCGGACCACGATCCGACACACCGCTGACGCGCCCAGTCGGTGGACCGCGATCCCCTTTACAAGGGGGGACTTACGACCCTACACACCGTTGATGCGCACAATCGGTGGGCTGTAGCGGATCAAGCCCGACACACCGCTAAGCTAAACTCAGTCGGTGGGCAAAGATCCTCGGAGACTACGGTCCTACATACCGATGTCCCACCACTCGGTAGATCGCAGCCAGCCGTAGCCCTACACACCGCCTGATTACTCAGGTCGGTGGACTACAGCCTTCCTCGGCTTGTTGGCCCTACACACCGCCTGGCGCGTCCAGGTCGGCGGGTCATATCACCGAGGCCCATGTGGACCTTCAGTCCTATACATAATCTTTATATACCTGACCGGTCTCTACCAGCCTGGTTAACAGTTTGGATGGTTCTCAGCCCATTCAACTACCCGTATAGTGGACCTCAGTCCTATATCATATTAAAATCCCTGATCGATCTTAACCGGCCTGGTTAACAGTTGGGATGGTTCTCAGCCCATTCAATTGCCCGTATAGCCCAATTGATCTTAACCAAGTTGGGGTCATGCATCACGTAACACACAACAGCACATAATAACACATAATCCACATAGGGAAGGGGGGAGACATATAATTAAGCTTACATGTGATCATTCACATACTAAGAATAATTCCTAAGGGCTCATATAACTTCCACCTAGGTCCACGGGTTACCAATTCAACTAGCATGCAATTCCTAAGACTCGTTTAACCTACGAATGGTACCCGAAATTCCAAACTAGACTCAGGCACGACAAACGGGGTCCGTTGGGACACCATGGGGAACGGAGAACATCAAACGAGGAAGCCGGGGACCCGAGGAGGGGGGGGGCATGGACCAGCGGTAGCCGGTGGGTGGGGGTCACCCGCCGGCTGCCCGCCGGTGGGCACTGTTCCGGGCAGCGGGTAGCCGGCGGGCAGCCGGCTGCCCGCTGCTGGGCAGTGCCCTTTGGGCAGCGGGTAGGTGGTGCCCCCCACTGACTCATTCATCAACAAATTCGTCCTGGGATCCTTTGTGGAACCCGAAACCATGCTTAGACACTTTTAAACGCAATTGGTGACACCATATAGACAATTAACAGATCAAAAGTAAGAATCATAGCAAGGAAAATAGGTTTTGTTGAGACATGGGTTACCTCTTAGCCTTAATTAATTTCCTTGGCTATGAAGGGTCTTTCTTTAAGATTCCTCCTTTCTTGATTTCTCCTAAGGGAATTCTTGGAACTTCTTGTGTGGTGAGAGATTATTTGTGGTGTGAATTCTAGGTGCCTCTTATGCTTTTATTTATACAAGGTTGCAGTAGGCGCTAGGCGCTAGTCGGGCGGCCGGGCAGCGTCTAGCGTCTAGGCGGGCTAGGCGGGGCCTAGGCGGAATCTAGGCGGCGCTAGGAGGGCTCTAAAAAAAAAAATTAAAAAACAGTAGCAGACTTGCAGTTTGACAAATTTAATGAAGTTGTTTTCAACATTTAATCAAATAGCACGTCCAAATAATAAAACTATCAATCTATCATGCATTCCTTCGAACAACTAAACAAGTCAAATACTCAATTACTCAAACAACAATACCACATTTAATCATCCAACTAATGAAACAAGTGAAACAACATCCAAGTATCAATGTTTAAAGTTTAAACTTACAAGTTACAACATAATTAACATTCAACAAAAATTCAACATTCAAGTCCAAATTTTGAAGTTTTGAAATCCAAAGTGATTCATGAATCATGATTGAATAGGATCATTGCCAATTTCTTCATCTTGTCCATATTGCTCAATAACACGTTGCCCATCATCTTCAAACTCCACTTCATTTATTTCCTCCACACTTTCCCCTTCTGATTCAAAGTTATCTTCATCAAGATCCCTCAATCTAGCACTTCTACCGGGTTGTAATGCTTCATCCACTTCCATAGCATTATTGTTGCAATCCAATCCCGGCTCAGTCTCATCATTCTCAAGATTTTCCACAATCCAATCTTGTATTAAACTTGCATCACTACCAACCAACTTTTCAATATTTTTATCTTGCTTGTTCTTGTTCATCAAAGTAGCATTAAATTGGACAAAAACTAAATTGTTGAGACGATTTGATTCAAGTCTATTTCTCTTCTTTGTATGTATCTACAATTCAAGTAATAAAAATATTCAAAAGTTTAAATAATGATTAATAAAATATTAACTATCATAATTCATATTTATATTAACTTCAAGTTGATAACAAACTAAATAAAATATTAAAATATCATATTAAGTTACTAACCCCTTCAAATGTGCTCCAATTTCTTTCACACCCCGAAGAACTAGATGTTAAAGAAAGAATCTTTATGGATATTCTTCTCAATAAAGGGGTTGAGGTACAAAAAGTTGACCACCAATTTGCTACAAAACAAAGTTCATAATAATTAATAAATAATTAAATATAATTAAGTAAACAATAAAGTATTAAAGAATAAAGAATGACTTACCAGGATTAAAGTTGTCATCATTCACCTCACATGCTTTGATTGCGATGCTTCTTCCAAACATCCCATCCTTCTTCTTATATTTTGGCAATTCTTCACTTACAATATGATTTTGCATGTCAAAATCATTGACGAATAGAATATCACAAAAATCAACAACTCCAACAACTACAACTTCGTCCAAATGAAGTTGTGGATCCTTATAATGGTAATAAGGATTCAACAAATATGCCATCAAATGAAGAGGAGAGTCAAGCCTATCTTTCATTTTTTCTTCAATAATGTCAATAATCGATTTATAGTTCCTTGGGACATTGGAAAAAGCATGTTTGATTTCCTCTTTTGCTCTCATAAGCTCACCATATACAAACCCCATTGATGGCTTGTTATCACAATCAACAAGTCGAAGTACTCTCACCAATGGTGCAAAAACCTTCAAACATGCCGTTACACCTTGCCAAAATCCCATACTCGTTACGGTTGAGTGTGCTACCTTCCCTTTAGCTATATTGGAAAATTTAGATGCCTCCCATTCATTGCTAGAAAACATTGCCCTTAATTCAATCTTCTTCTCGGCTAAACTTTGCAAAGTAAGGAATGAAGATGCAAATCTAGTCACACCGGGCCTCACTATTTCTCTCTTCTTTGTGAAAGTTCTCATCATTGCCAAAGTCTTGTGATGAGCATAAATAAAGATCGTTAAAGCCTTTGCTTGATCAAGGATTTTCTTGTACCTTGAGAGATTTCCAATGCTTTGAAGCATTAGATTTATCGTGTGGGTGGCACAAGAAGTCCAAAAGATGGTTGGGCTCTTCTCTTTCAACAACTTTGAAGCTCCCATGTTGTTTGAGGCATTATCCGTGACAACTTGAACAACATTTTCAACTCCAACTTGTTCAATGCCATGCTCAACAAACTCATAAATATATTCACTTGTGTGTGAATCAAGTGAACATTCTTTAGAAGAAAGGAAAACGGTGCCTAAACTTGAATTCACACACAAATTCATTACACTTCTAAATATAATCAACATCCGAACATGCGAAATCCCACCCAATTATATCAATAATAACACAATACGAAATTCCCAATTTTAACCTAGAGCTCTAATATATTCAAATCAATAAAATCATAGTTCATCTTTTAATTATCAAGACATCAAGATCCATCAAGAATATCACATAATCATCAAGAATCTCTTATCATCATCAAGATCATCAAGATCACACATAAAATTATCTCACAATTATCAAGAACATATCATCAATATCATAAACGATTCATCAAGACACAGGTATAGAGAGGAGGCCAAAGAAGATAATTATAGCAAGGAAAATAGGTTTTGTTGAGACATGGGTTACCTCTTAGACTTAATTAATTTCCTTGGCTATGAAGGGTCTTTCTTTAAGATTCCTCCTTTCTTGATTTCTCCTAAGGGAATTCTTGGAACTTCTTGTGTGGTGAGAGATTATTTGTGGTGTGAATTCTAGGTGCCTCTTATGCCTTTATTTATATAATTAAGAGTCCTAATTAGGGTCTAGGTGGCATGGGTTTACTAATTCTATTTCTTATAGGACTAAGGGGTTGGTTTTAGGGATAATGGCCCACGGACCATGGTGGACCCCCTTTTAGCTAATTAGTAGATTTTAACTCCCTTTTTGGGCTGAGTAATTAATTAATTAATTTGGGTTTAGGGGTTGTAACACGGGGTGTTACAGACTGGCCATCCTTTCCCTCATCACAAGATCCCCAACCTGAAGGTATCTGACCTTTGGCTCTTTTATCCTGGTAACGTTTGACGGCTTGCTGGAACTTGACCATCCGGGCATAAGCTACGTCTCGCCTTTCCTCCAAGAGATTCTTTTCAATTCGTAGAGTTTCTTCGTTGCCGTCGTCATTGTACAGTAAGACCCGCCAGCTAGGCACTAGGAGCTTGGTCGGAACCTTCGCCTCGAACCCATATGCCAAGGCAAAGGGGGTTTCGGCCGTTGCCCTTCGCGGGGTTGTCCAGTAGGCCCATAATTGTAACACCCCGTGTTACTACCTTCAAATCCGAATTAATTATTAAATTAATTTCTCTAATTAAAATAATTAAAAGGGATTTAATCCAATTTTAATTCGCTTAATTAACCTAGGTGGTCCACGATGAATCGTGAACCCTTACCTAAACAAGGAACCTTAAACCCATAGGGAATAGGGAAAGCGGGCCTTATTACTCAGACCTTGAATAGGTTTCCCTTAGACATATAAATAGGAGATTAGGAAGCAGATAGAACCCTTCCTCTCTCTTCCCTCACACGAAATCACTCGCAGGAACCCCAACCGAGGAAATCCCCCACCAGCTAGCCTAGGAAGATCAATTGGAAGAAGAATCTTAGAGAAGAACCTTAGTAGCCAGGGATATTGGTTAGGGCTAAGAGGTAACCCATGTCTCGACAAAACCTATTTTCCTTGCTATATCTTATTCATTGGCTCCTTTGATATGTGATTCTATGTTTGAGTCTTGATAGAGCTTTGCCTAGGGTTTATATTGTGTTTATGTGATAATCTTGATGTTCTTGATATTGTGATTTATTATATGAATGATCTTGCATTTTGATTGTGTCTAGAGCCCTAGGGTTTATATCGTGAATTTTGTATTATGATGTCCTTGGTATGATTGGGTGGGATTATGCATGATCGGGTGTTGAGTCTAGCCTAGGACTTGTGTTTAGGACTTTGAATATAGATTTCTTGGTGTTCTTGAGGTTCCGGATGCTCCCGGACCGTTATATGATTTATGTTGGGTCTTGGTATGTTTAGGAATCGTGTTAGAACGTATTTGGTGTGATTCTTGGTTTAATTCCGTTAATTGAGTCCGTAGTGTTGTCGTTATGTGTTTAAATGTGTCTGGACATGGTTTTAGGTTCCACGAGAGGGACCAAAAGTTGCTTGTGAGACAGTGGGGGGTAAGTGGGGGCAGGGGTTCCCGCCACCTACCCGCTGCCCCTTGCCCGATTTCCAGCGGGCAGGCGACTGCCCGCCAGGCACCCGTTGGATTGTGGACCGCTGCCCACCCGCTGGAATTTGGCGGTGCGTCGTGATGCTTTCCCCCGTTTGTTGTTTCTCCGTGTCCCGTTGTACCCCGTTTGTCGTGTATGAGTCTTGTTGGTGTTTTGGGTATCGTTCTAGGATTTTATGTGTATTACGTGTCGTTGTTGTTGTGTCTTGATTGTTATTTGGTTATGTGTTACTTGATTGAATGATGATGAGTATCGTGGTCATTGCGCAATGGTCGGTCTGACTGATGATGATGATGAGATTGTGATTGGTGGTAATGAATTGTTGGAGATTGGCACCACTTGTGCCCGGTCATTGTACTAAAGGTACAGGCCATAGCGGTGACTGTGCTGAAGGCGCACACCCACCTTAGACTTGCTTGCCGTTGAGCATGGGTCATGTTAGAGCTATATGCGCTAACTCCTTGATATTGGCACTAGAGGTGCGGATCATTGAATGGCACTACGGCACCATCTTGATATGTTGGTGGTTGATAGGCGGTTTGTCGTTGGGGGCATGTAGTTGCCCGGAGGCATAAGGGGTGGTGATATAAGGGTGGCCTGGAGGTATAGGTTGGAACTGATATAAGGACGTAGGGGAGCTACAAGGTTGGAACTTGGTATAAGGTTGGAGGATGAATTGTGTGCTTTGATGACTACTTGCTAATTGATTGTATTAAATGCCTTTGTTGCCTCTACTTGTTATTTGTATGCTTATCTGCCAGTCATGTCTTGTATTGCATGCTTATAATGCCTGTTTGTAACACCCCGTGTTACGACCCCTAACCCTAACAAAGTATTTAATCACTTGCCCTAAAAGGAGAATTAAAAACCCATTAATCAACTAAGAAAGGCCCACCATAGTCCATGGGCCCACATCCCTATAACCAACCCCTTAATTCTATAAGGAATAGAATTAGTAAGCCCGTAGTGTTTAGACCCTAATTGGGACTCTTAGGAATATATATAAATATAGGGTCATAGGAGGCACCTAGATCTTACACCACAATAATCTCTCACCACACAAGGAGTTTCAAGAATCCCCTTTAGAAGAAATCAAGAAAGAAGAAAGCTTAAAGAAAGACCCTTCATAGCCAAGGAAATTAATTAAGGCTAAGAGGTAACCCATGTCTCATCAAAACCTATTTTCTTAGCTATGATCTCCCTCTTAGGCCTCCCTCTATATTCTCGTGTCTTGACGAATTCTTCTATGATAATTGTGTTATGATCTTGTTGATTGATAAGATGATTTATATGCCTTCTTGATGATCTTGATGATCTTGATGTTGAAAAGAAGTTCTTGATTTTGATATAATGATTCTTGACGAATCTTGATATTTCTTGATGTTAAAGATAAAGTATGTTCTGGATGGTTTGGGCGGGATTAGAGCCCTAGGATGAATTGGGAATTTGCATTGTGATGTCCTTGAATTATATTTGGGTGGGAATTCGCATGTTCGGGTGTTGTTTATGTTTAGAAGTCGTGATAGGATGAGTCGTATGTGATTCTTGCTTTTGATCCGTTATTTGACTATGTGGTGTCGTTAATTGCGTTTGAAAGTGTCCAGGCATGGTTTCGGGTTCCACAAAGGTCCCCGGGACGAAATTATGGTAAATGAGTCAGTGGGGGGTAGGTGTGGGTAGGGGAATCCGCCACCTACCCGCTGCCCAGAATCACCGCCGGGCAGCGGGTAGCCGCCGGGAAGTCGCCTGCCCGCCAGCAACCCGCTGCCGGAACAGTGAATTCCGGCGGGCAGCCGGCGGGTGACCCCCACCCACCGGCTACCCGCTGGCCCGTACCCCACCCCGGGTCTCCAGCTTCCCTGTTTGATGTTCCCCATCCCCCACGGTGTCCCAACGGACCCCGTTTGTCGTGCTCGAGTCTAGTTTGATATTCCGGGTACCATTCGTAGGTTAAACGAGTCTTAGGAATTGCATGCTAGTTGAATCGGTAACCCGTTGGCCTAGGTGGAAGATTTATGAACCCTTAGGACTATTCTTAGTATGTGAATGATCACACGTAAGATTAATTATATGTCTCTCCCCTCCCAATGTGTTATTACGTGCTCCTATGTGTTATGTGATGCATGATCCCCCATTTTGGTTATATGCCAATTGGGTGGTTCCCGGACTAAGGTTCGGAAGTCGGTTGAAGACCGAATGGATATTTCCCGGACTAAGGTTCGGAAGTCGGTTGAAGACCGAATGGATTGATCCCGGAATAAAGGTTCGGAAGTGGCTGAAGGCCAATGGATTGTCCTGGGTTAAAACTCAGAAGTGGCTGAGGCCAAATTGATTTACTTCTTGGACTACAGGTCCGACTATGGGCCTCGGTGCTATGACCCACCGGACCTAAACGCGTCAGGACGGTGTGTAGGGCCAATAAGCCGAGGAAGGCTGTAGTCCACCGACCTGAGTAATCAGGCGGTGTGTAGGGCTACGGCTGGCTGCGATCCACCGAACGATGGGACAACGGTGTGTAGGGCCATAGTCTCCGAGGATCTTCGCCCACCTACTGAGTACAGCTTAGGGGTAAGCCGGGCTTAGATCCGCTATGGTCCACCGACTGTGCACATCAACGGTGTGTAGGGTCGTATGTCCCCCCTTGTAAAGGGGATCGCGGTCCACCGACTGGGTGCGTCAGCGGTGTGTAGGATCGTGATCCGACGTTGAGTTCGTCAACAGTTCTAAAAGGGTTGGTTGCGCTCAACTCCCCTCATACCGCGGTATTGAGGTAGGGTGCTGCGGGGCCGTGTTAATACTATACGCATTAACCCTCATGTTCGGGGCATGCGATTGGTCCCGTGGCACCATCATTGAGTATATGCTATGAATGATGATTGAATGATGATATGATGAAATCGGAAAGGGAACTGTGACCTTTGATGTGCATTTCTATGATGATATCTCTACTTAACTATCTATTACTGTTAACATGCTTACCTCTTCTTGTCGAGTCTATTCCCGGTTT